TGATTGTAGAAACAGAATTTCTTCAGTTAGCTTCTTTTTAATCTTCTTGTGAGAGACTTGCCTTCTGAATTGATTTCCTCATTTATATATAGGAGCAACAAAATCTGTTAGCTGACCACTTTATACCTAAAAAAGTATAAAAAATTGTTTTACTTGAAATTTGTTTTCCTGTCCTTGAAATTGAATCTGGCAGCTTAAGATTATTGACCTAAATAACAAAATTCTGAGAGATGTTATGTGTATCTCTATAGATCTCTCATTCTTAGAACTTTGTCTTTTCTATAGGAAGATGAAGATCCTAGCAAAGGTGATCAGAACCGGTCAGTTGACCCTAGTGAAGATAATGTGACAGAGCAGACCAATCACATTATTATTCCTAGCTACGCATCATGGTTTGATTATAACTGGTAAGTGGGCCAGTTCACCTGTAAGCAAGGTACTGCTATGGGAGAACTTTACTCTTTGGAATATGTGGTTTTTTTTAGAGACAGAGTCTTACTTTATCACCCAGGGTAGAGTAGAGTGCTGTGATGTCACAGCTCATAGCAACCTCCAGCTCTTGGGCTTAGGTGATTCTCTTGCCTCAGACTCCCAAGTAGCTGGGACCACAGGCGCCCGCCACAACACCTGGCTATTTTTTTTGCAGCCATCACATCATTGTTGTTTGGCGGGCCCGGCCTGGATTTGAACCCAACACCTTAGGTGTATGTGGCCGGCGCCTTAGCCACTTGAGCCACAGGCGCCGAACCTGGAATGTATTTTTTAAAATAATTTAGGGATTGACACTTGATTGGGATATTATTTAGGGTAGTGAAATGATGTAAGCTTGAACCTAACTCATTTAGTATGAGCTAGAATTCAGACAGGCAAGTGCTTCATTATTTAATAATTACAAAATATTGATACTCATTATATGGTTAAATACAGGCTGGGTACAGTGGCTCACACTTATAATCTTAACACTTGGGGAGGCCAGGGTGGGAGGATTGCTTAAGGTGAGGAATTCAAGAGTAGCCTGTCCAAGAGCAAAACCTGTCTCTAGAAAAATGAGCTGGTATGATGGCACATGCCTGTAGTTGTAGCTCTTTGGGAGAAGGCTGAGGTAGGAGTATCCTTAGGCCAAGAGTTTGGGGTTGCTGTGGCCTATAATGACACCATTGCACTAAAGGCTAGGTGAAAGAGGCTTTGTTTCCAAAATAAAAACAGTTAAATACAGTCCTGCTATTTATCTGCATTTTTACCTCCTCAGTTTCAATTACATAATATCAACTGTGACCTGAAAATACTAAATGGAAAAATTCCAAAAATAACTCATAAGTTTTAAATTGTGTCCATCCTGAGCAGCAAGATTTCATCTCTTAACTGTCATGCAAGCGATGTGAATCATCTTCTAGTCCAGCATTATCTACGCTGTTAGTCACTTAGTAGCTGTCTTGTTATCAGATTGACTATTGTGATGTCATAATAGTGGTTGTGCTCAAGTAACAATTATTTTACTTAATAATGGGCCCAAGACACAAAAGTAGTAATAATGGCATTTTGAATATGTCAAATACAAGCAATAGAGTACTTCCTTTAGGTGAGTTTTGGACTGAAAAGAATGAAAATGTATCCTGAGTTTGCTTAAGATGTATAGTAAAAATTCTGTGAAATTATGAGTATGTTGTCACTGTTCTAGTATTAGTTATTATTAATCTCTTACTGTGCCTAATTATAAATTAGACATTTTCATGGAAATGTAAGTATAGGGGGAAAAAATGGGTTATATATGATTTAGTACTTTCTGTAGTTTGAGGCATCCATTGGAGGTCTTGGAACATAGGTGGCATGGATAAGGAAGGACTACTATAAATAAATGAAAAAATTCAGGCTTGGTACCTGTGACACAGTGGTTACAGTGCCAGCCACATATACTGAGGCTGGTGGGTTTGAACCCAGCCTGGGCCAGCTAAAACAACAATGACAACTGCAACAAAAAATAGCCAGACATTGGGACGGCTGCCTGTAGTCCCAGCTACTTGGGAGGCTGAGGCAAGAGAATTGCTTAAGCCCAAGAGTTTGAGGTTGCTGTGAGCTGTGATCCAACAGTACTCTACTGAGGATGACATAGGGAGACTCTGTCTCAAAAAAAAAAAA